CAGCAGGTCAGAAAGCTGAATCCTGCCTGGCCGCGTGGCTCAGGGGTGAGTGTCGACCTAGGAACCAAGAGGTCAGGATTTGATTCCCCGACAGGGCACAGGCCCGGGTTGCGGGCTCGATCCCCAGTGGGGGGTGTGCAGGAGGCAGCCGATCCATGATCCTCTCTCATCACTGATGTTTCTGTCGCTCTCTCCCTTCCTCTCTGACATCAATAAAGACATATTTAAGGGGAAAAACAAAGAAAGCTGAACCATGGAGGTGGAGGCGGCCATAGGGACTTATTTCTCAGGAGCTGGCGCCAAGCGGGGCGCTCAACACAGGAAGAATCCCAGGAAGCCCCCCAAAATTCCCGCCTGTTTACACTTGTCAGGATTCATTTTCAAATGCAGAAGCGGCCGCAGCCTGTCGCCAAGCAGCCACTCACGGAGCGGGAGCCGCAATGCAATGTACTCAGGGCGGCCGGTCTGAAAAGCAACTCAGCCGGAACCCGTCCCCCGTGACCACGAGCCGGGCCCAGCCAATGCCGTCGCTGCCCCCAGCGGGTGAACCCGGGCCTGTGCCAACGGGACGCCCAGCCCAGGGGCGACTGATGATGATGATGTGTGAGTGGTTGGGCCCGGAGCCTGCAGTAGGCTGACCTACTGGCTGCCATTTCAGGGCAGAATGTGTCCCGGGGGCGCTCAGGGTCCTGTTCGGTTCCCCCCTTTGGTCCTAAGGCGAAGGGACTTTTCCAAGCTTCACGGACCCGCAGAACTTCCCACACGGGCCCGGTCTCCTCCAGTGCAGAGCCGACAGGCACAGACTCTGCGAATCTGGTTACGACAATCAGGCTCTGTGAACGCCATGAATGAACCACATTTCGTAAGACTGGGGGGCGGGGGGGGGGGGCGCCTACAGGTTTCATATAAAAATCCCTTAAACCCATGCGTTTTGCATGCCCACTTGATGGTTCAAATTATGACGGGATTTCCACGCGGCCGGGGCCTCCCCGAAGCTTCCGCAGAGAAACGGCTCCTTATAGCTGGGACTGGAGGTTAAAACAGGTGAGAAAAAAGGGGGTGCTCCCATTCCCAGGGGGGGAAAGCCTGCTCCGGACAGCAGACCTGAAATAGTGTGATTCCCAGCAAAAGTGTGTGTGTGCTTGTGTGAGTGTATGTGTGTGCGAGTGTGTGTGCTTGTGTGAGTGTGCGTGTGCGCGTGTGCGTGCATGATGAGTGTGTGCGTGTGTGCGCGTGTGCATGTGTGTGTGGGTGTGTGCGTGCGCACGTGTGTGCATGTGTGTGCGTGTGCGTGTGAGTGTGTGCATGTGTGCGCGTGTGCGTGAGTGTGTGTGTGCGCGCGTGAGTGTGTGTGCATGTGTGTGAGTGTGCGTGCGTGCGTGTGCGTGCATGTGTGTGTGTGCGCGCGCGCATGAGTGTACGCGCGCGCGTGTGTGCGTGTGTGAGTGTGTGCATGTGTGCGCGTGTGTGTGAATGTGTGCGCGCGCGTGTGTGTGCATGTGTGTGTGGGTGTGTGCGTACGCGCGTGTGTGTGCATGTGTGTGAGTGTGCGTGTGCGCGTGTGCGTGCATGTGTGTGTGTGCGCGCGCGCATGAGTGTACGCGCGCGCGTGTGTGCGTGTGTGAGTGTGTGCATGTGTGCGCGTGTGTGTGAATGTGTGCGCGCGCGTGTGTGTGCATGTGTGTGTGGGTGTGTGCGTACGCGCGTGTGTGTGCATGTGTGTGAGTGTGCGTGTGCACGTGTGAGTGTGCGTGCATGTGTGCGTGTGTGTGTGCGCGCGTGTGAGTGTGTGTGCATGTGTGTGTGAGTGTGTGTGCGCACACACTCTGTGTTTACAGATAGCTTGCAGGATTTTCCCCCGACCTTTTCTTCCTCTTAACGTTAAAAGCCTCCAGAGATAATTCCGTATCTATTTCCACACGCATGTGGGAGGTGAGGAACACACACATTCTCCCCGGTTTACTCAGCAGAACGCATGGGAACGTGCTGCCTCGGACAACTCTGCCAACAGCCTTCACTCCCGCAGATCGCAGCCCCAGCAGCTTCCCGCCGCCTCACCTCCCATCCCACCCAGAGGGCCCTCCTGGCTCCAAGCAGGGGAAGGTGGACAGTGACCGCGGCTCAGTCCAGGCCACTCATTCATCCTGTCCAGACTGAACCCCAAACGCGACTTCTAGCCCCATTTCCAGGTCCACGCCACGGCAGCCCCCCAGCCCCCTGGAGGCGGAGGACGAGGTGGCAGGTCTGCTCAGCTCCTCACCGGAGGGGACGGAGTCCCGCAGGGGACGCAGGGGACAGAGGGGACAGGGCCTCCTAGGCAGGATCATTAGGGCCCCTCGGTGTTGGGAACACAGGCCCAGCAGGCCGCGGCTGCCACAACCCCGGCTTCCTGCCTTCAATACCATAATCCTTCCTGGAGTCTGAGGCCTCAGTGAAAGCGCGTGTTTATTTTCCCCCTTGAAAGGGAACGCTCTTCTCAGGGGGCAGGGGTTGTCACCCCCGTGATGGATGGCTCCTGGCGACCACCCGCTCCCTGGCCCATTCCCACCTGGGCACAAGCCTGCGCCCCCCCCCCCCAAGCAGGCCAAGGGGCCATGGGAGAGCCTGGCTGGGGGGTGGGCCCTACAGGTCTATACTGGGCCCCCTCCAAGAACCAGAACATCTCCAAACCCCCCTGAGCTCCAAGAAGGCAAGCCAACCCCGCCGTCTTCATCAGCTCCCGCCCCGGTAGCTGTCTGTCCGTCTGCCCTCGCGGGGAGCCCTTCTGCGCTTTGTTCTTCTTGGATTTCCTATCAGGAACGTGAGCAGTGCCCTGGGGGGAGGGGGTGCCCAGGTCCCCGGGGGCAGCTCTGCCTCCAGGCCCAGGCCTGGCTGGCACTGCCCTTCTCCCAGGGCTGAGCCGAGAGGTCGCTATCGAGGGGTCAGATGGGATGGGGCAGCGGGATGATGCCTCAAAATACACCGAAACCTCAAAAAATACAAAACGCGGGCTGACCGGGGCGCACAACCCGCTCCCTGTTGCCTGTGAGCAGATGCGGACCTGGGGCTCGGGAGCCACGGCCAGGCACCGACCCGGTTCCGAGGCAGCATTTCTTCCAAGTGTTTGCCTGGAATATCCTGTTCCCCTCCTCCCCGCGCTGGAGAACGCAGAAATCTGCATTTTAATTGGCATTCCAGGGAGAGCGAGAGCGGCCCTGATTGCAGCTCTATTCAAACTAACCGGGCTTTTCAGATGAAAATGAGTCCCGGCCCGAGGACCATTTGCAGGGATTTGGGGCCCGGGGGACAATGGGGCTTCAAACGTGGGTAGCGACTCGCACCGAGCACAGCGGAGGTGCCCCGAGTGGGGCGGCAGGTCCGCGGTGAAGGGCAGGGTTCCTGGGACCCGGGGCGAGAGGAAGGCGGGCGCCGGGGGAGAGTCTGCGA